CTGTCTGTCTGTCTTTATGTCTGTCTTTCTGTCTATCTGTCCTTCTGTCTGTCTGTCTGTCTTTCTATCTGTCTGTCTGTCTCTCTGTCTGTCCGTCTGTCTGTCTGGGGTCAGTAAAGTCTGTCTGTCGTATGGATCGAGAACTTCGTAGTTGTCTGGTCTTCTGTCTGATCTGTCTGTCACTGTCCTGTCGAGTCGGTTGTCTGTCAATGTCGGTCTGTGGTCTGTCATGAAAATCTGGTCCCTGGTCTGTCTGTTCTGTTGTCTCTCTCTCCTCTTCTGTCCGCCCTTTTTTGGCGTCCTCCCCTTCCCCTCTCTTGCTTCCCTCCCCTCCCCCCCCTGTCCTGGGTTGGTCTTCCTCCCGGACCGCTGTTTTTGTTGGTGAATGTTCATGTTGAAACAAACGCAAGTAGAATAAATCCAATCTCTTGCCAGTTAAATCCCAATTTCTGTTGTTTAAATCTTCCCAGCAAGATAGTTAAAATTCTCACTTCTGTTGGTTAAGTCGCATTTTGATTGGTTATTCAACATTTTGTGGGTGAATTGCACATTTTTGTTTGTGGAAACTCAATCTCTTTCTTTGTTCACAAGACCTTCTTGCTTAGGCAGTGTTGCCGCTGCACAAGGGCCTGAAAGCGGCCGCGACGGCGCGGGAGGACATTGAAAAGAACCTGGCCAGTGGCACCCAGAGATGGAGATGATGGTAGTTGGATGACTTTGGTTCCAACCTTTGAAGCATATATCCACAGATGGTTTAGATTAGTAGTTTACTAAACTTCAAATGGTTTGAAGTCAGAGGATTTCGATGGTAGATGGTCAATGGTTAGCGAGCTTTCAATGGTTTTCACGCTTTTGGCCATTCCTTTTTGGCATTTGTTTGGGATCTCAACTTTGGGTCGCCGTTGAGGTCATTAAGATCCAACAGCTGTCTGAAGAACAGCAGCAAGAGCGGGAGGAGCGCTCCAGGTGCTCCATCTACCACTGTTGGTTGAGGATTTTTTGGGATTAGACTAACCACTAAATCAGACTCTTATTTTTCCCTAAATCATAGTAGGGGAAATCATATGAACCAACCAGTAACGGAATGACAGGGGTTTCTGGACACTGCTCATGTGAGTGGCCCAGACTCAGGTTGATTTGTTGTAATAGGCTTGTGACACGGCTTACAGGCAACTTCTATGAAACGATAGAAAATAAAAATAACTAAAAAAACAAAACCCATTCAAAAAAAATGCAAAACCTAATCCATATCTAAAGCAACAAAACACAATCAATCAGAACAGCTCAAAAGAAAAGTCAAAACAAAAAGCAAACAAAACAAAACACCAAAAGCAAAAAAACAAAACCAACAGCAAAAAAAAGCAAAACCAACAGAGGTCCCGGTCATCAGGTCACCTGCAAAAGAAACAGCACGAAAAAAACAAGCGAACACAAAAAGAAAAAACGAAAAACAGGCGAAACAAAGAGCGAAAGAGGACTGAAAAAAAAACGCATAAAGGTTTGCTTTTTTGTTTTTTGTTTTGTTGCTTTTTCAAAATAGTTGTTTGTTTTCTTTGGTTTTGTTTTTTTCAAAAAATGGTTTGATGTTTTTTTCATTGGTTTTCGTTTTTTGGTTAATTCCTTAGAAGTAGGCTTAAGGCATTTCACAATAATAGGGGGTTGTACTACCAAATATATTGTGGATTATCATAATCCATGGGAATCCCGTGAACCAACCAACCGTTTCGGGATGACAGCAGATTTTGGTCACTGGCTGGTAGGAATCAAAACCACACGTGTGTTGCTTCAACACACGAATTATCCGCAACCAGGTCATAGTATCCCCCCCAAACTTGACAGAATTTTCGGGCCTTCTGCGGCCTTCTCAGGCTCTCGCGGGATATCGGTGCATCGCTGTCAAAGTTGCAGCGGATGCAGGCATCTGTTGGGACTGCCGGGCGGCAGGCCATCTCTGGTAAGTCGCCAGCAATTTCTGGCTGATCTTTTGGAGAACCCCATTTTCCATGAACGGGAAAAAAACTGTACATGGCTTAACACATACAAAATACGTTTTTAAAGAATCCATCTTTTCTCATCTTTTCTCCATTTTGGCTGAAAAAAACCACATTCCCATCATGGGAAAGCCTGCGCTAAAAACACGACCCCGCAGAACTCGTTGCAAGGCCGAAGAAGAAGAGCTCCGGAGCCAGGAGAACGAATGTCTGGGCAGCGCTGTGGAGTCCATGCAGGAGGCCTGGATTTTTTTTTGGGATGAAGGAATCCCCAAGTTGTAGCAGGTGATAGCCACTTTACAGGATTACTAGGAAAAATGATAGTAATCTCATGTAATCTCCGTAGTTGTCTCCAAGTTATATCATGCTTTATAGAGAAAATGATGATTCACTGGATGTAGGAACACCACGTAAATTGGAGAAAGCCATGGGTAGAGAAACTGCAATAATGATTGGGAAGAACATCGACAGCGATATGATTTGAGCAGCAAACCTTAGGGCAGAAGCCGAGGGATAGACTCAAGAACTAGGGATGTTTGATGACACAAGAGGGTATATCCATTAATATTCCATTAATCTTCCACTGATATTCCATGAATATCCCATTGTATCCATAGTATACCAGCATTTTTTCCATGAACGTTCCATTCATATACCATTACATACCCATTGTACCACCATTTTTGTTGGTTAAAATCATATTTTTATTGGTTATTGGTTACCATCAAATCGTCGTTATGTCCCCACTGTTGATGGTGAAAGAACCATGAAAAATCACCATTTTTAATCATTAAATGGTTAGATTCTCCATATAGCCCTTAGATTCCCCATGATGTCACCAAGCCAACGGAGGTTTCCCGAAGCTTGCGGCACTCCTACGAGGCGCGAAAACTGGGTGATTTACCATGTGGAAATGGGTGGAAATGATGATTTAAACCATTCAAACTGGGATTTAAACATGATCTAACATAAGACTTCACCAACTCAAAATTCAAATTTTTCGGATGGGTCAATAGCTATAAGACAAGGGCTTGATGAACATCCAGGGTCACAACAGCAGGGGAGCAGAGTGAACAGTTTTTGCAGATGTTTCTTGCTGGTCCAGGCGTGGCTTGTTTGACAAATTCTGGGAAAAGCTTCAAAACCATCAAAAACCAGTGGTGAATCAACCTTTTACTGAGTCAAATTCAGCAATCTTCCATGGGGAGATGAATCCCAAGGACACACCCACACATCATAATCTGGTTGGTGGTTTGGAACATGGCTTTTATTTTTCCCTTCAGTTGGGAATGGAAAAATCATCCCAACTGACGAAGTCCATGATTTTTCAGAGGGGTAGGTATACCACCAACCAGATTTAAGATTTATAATCCATTATAAGTTGGTATTAATATATAAATATAATGGGTGACAATATCATAGCTATTTTCTGGGTTTATCTGATCATTCTGACAATTGCTAATAATGATCAACCAGATTATTATTAAACATCATTAACCATATAATAACAATATATAAACCCCCATTAACAGTATATTAACCACCAACCAGTAATATGCAGGACCTCAGATATCCCACTAGGCATCCCCATGATTCTGTTCCAAGACGAGGAACTGAGACAACGCAGTCAAGAAAGCAGCGACCAGCTACGGTCCACGTCAGGGGAACCCAGGCGGTGTTTGATGTCCATGGTGGTGCCAAGTGTTTGATGTATTTGTATGTATTTGGAGGTTTCTTAAAATGGGGAATGCCCCAAGATTGATGGTTTATGATGGGAAATCTTATAAACATAGATGATTTGGGGGTAGCACCATTTTGTGGGAGACTTCCATTTGTATCCATTTGTTTCATATGTGCCATGGTCAAAACATAGACTATTTTCCCAACAAAAGGGTTTGGTCATCGATCTATTAATAGATACATGTATATATATATATACACACACACACACCCCCATAATAAGGATTCCCAATATGAGATGGATGACAATACCCCATATACCATGTTTTGACCATGACACCCGTGTTTTCGAACCGGGCTAATTCCAAGAAAACCGACAACGCTAGAATTCTGTATTATAGATGCAACTACGTGGAAATATACTGTACAATAGGTATATATATATAGTACATGCAGTATACACATTTGGATCCTCATTCGTGGCCATGAGCAGTTGATTCAATACCACCTTCCTTCATCAGTTTACCAAGAAAGCCGAGGCTTTCTCGCGAGGCGGCTGCGAGACAAGCCAAGTTGGAGGTGATTTCGTCCGCAGTTCTGAGGAACCCATTGGGATTTGGAGTTGATCTCAAATGATTACCTCAAAAAAACATGGTGATTTATTATGATGACGATAGTATACAGTATACAGTTCATTAGGTAATCGTAATCACCAAGAAGATGGAACCGCAAGTATCGCATTTTTGCAATACATTTTACTTTTTTTTTGGGGGGGGTTGCGAATGGGTTGCCATAATCAGCCCATTTCAATCCATGGTTGGATGTTAGATCGGGAAACGCCAGGCGATTGACTCGGCGGTCAGGGCGCTCGGTCGCCAATCGAAACCGTTTCTGCTGCACTAGTTTCAGCTTGTTTTGGTGGGAAATCCTGCACCAGTTGATGTTTCATCCCATGATTTACCCTCTGGTAATTTAACATAACTATGGAAAATCACCATTTTTCATGGGAAAACTCACTATTTCTATGGCCATTTTCAATAGCTATTTTGACATAACCAGAGGGTATAGGGTTTCAACAGGTTTCAACCATTATGATACATCGGATCCATGACGAGACTGTCGCCCGCCCTGGTAGCCATCTACAGCTAGATCAAATCTTAAAGTCCCATTAGACTACATAGATCTACATAGTATCCATTTAGCCACTATAAACATGATCTCTGGGATTTAACACTTTCATTTTTCTCATATTTAGAAACTCTCACTATCTCCAGCTGAGAACTCCGATCCGCTGGTTGTCCCGAGGTCAGAGAGCTCAGGAGTCAAGTGTCAACCGAGACCCAGCAACGTGAGGCACAAGCGAGACACGACATGGAATTGTACTGTTTTTTTCTTTCTTTGATGGGAATATATATATATACAATATGTAGTGAGAGTTGTCTATAGATCTATCTTTTATGGGATTATCAAGATCTAATGGGATAATCTATAGATTTTAACAGATTAGATTGGGAATATAGTCGGGGATAGTCTATAGATACAATGGGAATTAGTCCACAGACACAGAAATAAAAATGGTGGGATTTCACTGGCGATTTCACGGATAGCGTGGGGATATCACTGATATAGTGAGATTCTTCATGAGAGAATGCGAAAGAGAACCAACACTGTGGAAATATCGGAGGTATTTCACGATCAATGATTCGTTGCGACCTCATGTCGCCACGTCACGATTTTGAAGTATCCCAAATGGATATGATTTATGGTTGATACGTTTCGACGTGGCCAAACTTCATGTTTGTCCCAAATCTTCATGTTTGTCGCATTGTAAGTCTGAAACATTTGGTGTTTTTTTTTTGGGGGGGCCCAATGATTGATCGGATTTGGTTTAGAGAGTTGGCAATCATGGTGAATTGATCGGCCCAAATTTCTGAATTGGTTTCCTGCAGACCAATTCAGTGAATTTTTCGAATAAATCCTGGTTTTTATGTTGGACATTGATTAGTGGAATGGTGAATTGGGGGAAGTTTTTTCATTGACTCCCCAATTTTAACATCAATTGTTTCGGGGAGGTTGATCCATCACTGAACATCCAACGACTCAACATTCACGATTCAAAAAACGCAACAAAAAACACTAGTCGTCACAGTGGAGCTCCATTTTTGCCTGGGATAAGCATTAAAGTTCTAAAAAATGTGCCAATCCTTGGTCAAAACCATTGGGAAAATCTGCTCCAAAGATTTCTGCGAGAGGTGAGTGTGAAGCACCTCAGCGGCGAGATTTACGCCGAAGTCAAGGTGTCAGTGGGTTTCATGGAGACTTTTTTTGGGAAATCACCTTACGAAATGGAGGTTTTGCTGGGAAAATATGGGAAAATCATTTATACCTGGAGATTCAAACCCACGCGAAATGGGGAAGATGTAGAATTTTAGCAGAACAATCTACATATATTAAGCAACAATTATATGTGAGTCACGATTTAGGACGCAAATGCAGCGAATGCGGTGAGTTTCGCTGCATGATCCTCGCAAGGGGAGATTGTCTCCGTTGTTGGGAGATTTTCTGTGGGGAACCCCATTAATCATCTAAGATGGTCATTTTTGACCGGGGTACCCCCAAATTTGAGAAGGACCCATAGACAAAGTGGAACCCAAGAATTTTCCAAGCCCTGGACTCCCTGGACGGTTTGGAGTTTCTGGATTTCAGGGTGTCCTTCAAAGCCTCTGACGGAGCCAGGCTCGAGAAGAAGCGACCAGCACCTTGCCGCAAGGTGTATCCAGGGTGCTGTCAAGTCCCGACTCTAGGGCTTCGAGTGGAACATCCGCACGGGCAACGAGGAACCAGGAACAACTTCATTGAACTTGACGGAAATGTTCTAAAAAATCCAAATCCGGCAATCCATTAGAAATCCCTAGAAATCGCCACAGATCCCAGGCCGGGACCGGCGTGCCATAGAGGAAGATGTGGCCAAGGCGGTGCGAGAGCACCGCAGGAGCCGCGAGGAGGAGGAGAGGAAGGTGCAGCAACGGCTGTCCGGGACTCAGATGGGATGGAAAATGGAGATTCTTTGCTGCGATTTTCAGATGGTTGGATGCTGGGTGGGTGTCCAGACATGATTTGATGCACGAACAAGAGGGATTGAAAACCAAAATTGGGATTTGACCGGGATGCACAGATGATGATGGCTGATATGTACTGGGATATTTCCTGGATATTCATGGAACATACTGTGGTAAGCCTGAGAATATCATGTCCTAGTAGAGGATGGTTGGTGATGGGAAAGCAGCTTTGGATGATAGAAACTGGGGCATTCAAGCCACGCAAATTTGGATTTTAGCTTCAAAGTCGGAACTACCTCAAAGTTGTGCCCTCTAGATGGATTTATGTTTGGGGATTTTATGGGATTTTCAGATTTAACTCAGCATTGAACAAGGCCAAGAAGCCCGGATAGTGTGGCCATGGAGAAGCGGTGAGTTGGCCCCCCCGTGGTCGGTTCGAGGCTGGAGACCTCGGCGCAGCTGGCGGAGGAGCGCGAGCAGCGCCTGGAGCAGCTGCGCACAGAGCGGCTGCGCCTGGAGGAGCTGCGAGAGGAGCTTCAGAGGCGCTGCAAGGCCTTGGGGGAACAGGGCTTTGGGATGGTTTGGGGGGTTGGGGTTAGGCAGTTTTGGGGTTGGGGAAGTTGGGGAAGTTGGGGATGGGGCTTGGATTTTTTTCTTAGATAAGAAAGAATGATACAAATAGACATTCATGGTCAGCCCAAGACATGGTGAATCAGCCGTAAAAAACGACCTTTCAACCCCGCCACGGTTAGGCCTTCGAGCAGCACAGCGAGAAGAACGGCACCGCCTTACAGCGCCTGGAGGACTGGAAGAGCAGCGTGGCCAAGGACGGCACGGTGCAGGGGACTGGAGAAGAGCCGGGATGGGTTTGAGACATAAAAATCATAAGATCAGGATTGGACCAATAAGAACAAACACACACACACACATGCACACATATATAATATACATATATTACATGTAATTATGTATATAATTATACATAATGATTAATTATATATTATATTATGTATTATACACATGATCAAATATGTGGAAACTTGACCAGCGCAAAGTTGATAACTGATGGTTTACGGAACAAATATGGAGCTAAACAACTCGAAATTGAGAAATGGGGATAGGTCACGACACAAGACTGACGGCCGCAACCGTCCAGCTACATCTTGGTGATTGGTTGTAATTATGATGGCTACCCATGGTTGGCTAGTTTGAATACCATTTTTGGTACAATGACTGGATCCTACCAGTGAAAACCATCAACATATCCAAACACGACTGGGGTTACTTCCCTACCGTTTCGCTAGGGTCACATCACTTGGGTTAGTTCACCCTGTTGCAGCTCCAGCGCCTTCTCAGAATTTTCCCCAGGAGGGTCCATAAAATGGGGTGACAACTTTTCGATAACACCAAATTAGTTGAATCCCAACATTTACTGGGGTCCACCGACCTGGCTTGTCTGTACCAGGAGCAGGAGTTGCAGCTTGCGCGGCTCAACAAGAGCTGTGATGAGCTGCGACAGGCCGCGGAGCGGGAAAATCGGGTTCAGTTTCAGCATTCTTTGGAGGAATGGGCGTTTCCTGAAATGGGGGATCCCCAAAATAGATGGTTTATAGTGGAAAATCACCCTAAAATGGATGATTTGGGGGTACCACCATTTCAGGAAACCACCATATGATGAGATGCCAGGTCACATCATGTCAAATATTGCCAGGATTGCCTGGTTAGCCGGGTCTCTGACCCAGATGATTTCAAAAAAGAAGGACGGATCAAGCCTATTATTACACATTATATATATATATGTAATAATAGGTTTTGATTACATACTAGCATATATGGGGGAATAACCATCCGTGATCCAGCTATTTTAGGGTGCCGTTTCTTTTTCCCATGGGACTTTTTCAACCGGCGGCACCGAGCTGCAGGACCTGCTGGCGGAGACGCAACGGATCGAGAACGCCTGCCGAGTGGTGGAGAACAAGAGCCTGGAGGCGGATACCCACCTTGGTCTCTGCGGGGGGGTTTTCACACGATTTTCTGATTTTCCTGCTTTGGAAAATGATCCACGATCGAAGAACCTCATTTTTAGGGGATGCGTTGAAATCCTAAACCATTCCTCGAAGCATTGCTTGCACATCCTATGTGAAGATACGTTCATATTCCACTTTTTGGTTGCTGAACTTCCTAAAGAAACCCATCATTTTCCCGTAGTTCACCGTAGTTCCCCCCCGGCAGGTGGAGTCCTCGCTCCGCAGCGAAGGCACCAAGCGCCAGGCGCTGGGCACCACGCTGCGCGAGGCACTGGAGGCGGCGGAAAGGCAGCGGGCGGAGCAGATGCAGATGGAACGACAGCAGAGGGAACAGCTGCAAATGAAGCAGGTGGGGATGGGGTTGGGGAAGTAGGGGAAGTAGGGGAAGGGGGATGGGGAAGGGGGAAGTTTGGGGGGGATGGAGGAAGAGGGATTGCTATTTTCGATATTTTGATTGGACGGGAAACGCAGGAGGAGCTGCATAAGATGCTCCTGGAGCGCCAGAAGGAGCGCCTGGCTGAGCAATGCGTGGAGCAGCTGGCGCAGCTGAAGGAGCAGCTGGCCGAGGACCGAGAAGTGTAGGAAAGGTCAACATTCTGAGCTTAAAAAATTAAAAAACCATGGATTGATTAACACCTTCTAGTGTACAATAGATAAGCTGTGGGTCCAATAGGATGACCTGGTGGTGAGAAGTGAATTTTTGTAGCTTCTGAGGTGTTTTTTGTCGCTGATGTGAATCTTGGATTACTTTGGATTGGTAAAAAGGTGGAAACTGAGTGAAAACGAGTCTCCGGTATGAAGGTCCATCATTTCGACCAGTGCCTTTCGAACGGAGATTACATCACATTACTCTATATCACATCACATCACATTATGTGACGTTTTACACATTACATTGAGATACATTAAGTTTTTTTTTTTAATTTTCCGAAGATATCCCAAAATTCAAATCTGTCATTTTCCCAATCCAACTATTTCATTGATATTTCCATTGATCTTTCCATTTTTCCATTTTTCGCCATATCCAGTAGCCCAGGACGCGGCACGTCGCGACCACTGGGAGGCGCAGAAACAGCTGCAGCTCTCGCAGCTGACTTCGGCGCAGGCGGAGCAGCAGCACGGCCTGGCGGAGGCGCAGCAGCTGCGACAGCACTGCGAGGCCAAGCTGCGGGAGGCGCGGCGTGGACGTTGTGGGACCGGGTTTGGCGTTGTTTTGGGGGGCCTGGGATGGTGATTTTTGGAA